ATATATATATATATATATATATATATATATATATATATAAACAATGAGGAAAACAAGTATTTGAACACCCTGCAACTTTGCAAGCCTCTAAAAAGTCCATCTCCACTCCACTTATTATTCTGAATTAGAAGCACCTGTTTGAGGTCGTTATCTGCATAAAGACACCTGTCCACCTCACACAATCAGTAAGACACCAACTGCTAACATGGCTAAGACCAAAGAGCTGTCCAAAGACACCAGAGACAAAATTGTAGACCTCCACAAGGCTGGAAAGACTTAGAACATTGAAGATGGGTCGTGGCTGGGTCTTCCAACATGACAATGGCTCCGTAAGAAGCATATCAAGGTTCTGGAGTGGCCTAGCCAGTCTCCAGACCTAAACCCTATAGAAAATCTTTGGAGGGAGCTCAAACTCTGTGTTTCTCAGCAACAGCCCAGAAACCTGGCTGATCTAGAGAAGATCTGTGTGGAGGAATGGGCCAAAATCTCTGCTGCAGTGTGTGCACACCTGATGGAAAACTATAGGAAACGTTTGACCTCTGTAACTGCAAACAAAGGCTACTGTACCAAATATTAACATTGATTTTCACAGGTGTTCAAATACTTATTTGCAGCAGTAACACACAAATAAATTATTTAAAAAATCATACATTGTGATTTATGGATTTGTTTTTATGTCTCTCACAGTGGACATGCACCTAAGATGAAAATTTCAGACCCCTCCATGATTTCTAAGTGGGAGCACTTGCAAAGTTGCAGGGTGATCAAATATTTATTTTCCTCACTGTATGTGTATAGATATATATATATATATATATAAATATATATAGCAACATGTTCATTTTGTCAAATGAACAACTTTGATTTCTGTTTTTTTGTTGTTGTTGTTGTTATATCATCGTAATCGTCAGAATGCTCTGAAATATCACAATATTATATTTGAGCCATATCGCCCACCCCTATGTCAAGCTTCACAGAAGCTGTTTTGTTTCTATCCGTCTTTAGACTTACTGTGAACCAAAGGCTTTTCTCCAGTCAACACTGCAGCGCTTTGAACCAAATGACATGGAAACTTGTATGAACAGCATCCAAAGTCAATTTTTACTGAAGTGTCTCTGAACTGTATGTGTGTGTTTAAATTACACTCTCCAATGCAAATGTGAAGCTGCAATAAACTACACACAGACAGATGTGTGCAGATGCACACTGACAACAAAGGCTGTTCCATTCTGTACCGACAGCTCTTAAGTGTTAGACCAGAGTTGATGACGTTTGTGCCAGTACGTTCAGTCTGGAGAAACAGAACTCACACACTTAGTGAATCACCTTCTAATTTCAGCCTAATGAACAGTTCTTCTTTTAAAACCGCCGTTTACATGTTTCTTGTGAAATACAAGAAGGACAGGAACAAGTCCCCAGGCCACGTCAGGCTCACCAGCTTCTTGAACAAATGTCCCACGGTGACCTTCTCGTCCCACTGCTGTATGTTGGGCAAGAGGGCGTCATAGAACTCCTTGTGGATCTCAAAGATGTCCTGGATCTTGTAGAAGATGGTCTCTACCTGCTGCATGGTCAGGACGGGCTGGGACGTGGTGGCCGTGGCTTTCAGGGGCTTCATGGGCTGGAGAGACAAGACACAGGAGGACTCAGGTAACAAACAAGCTGATCGGTGTAAAGGTCGGAGAAACGGAGGAAAAGAAACAGCGATGAATTTAGACATAAGTTCAATCAAAGCATGTTTGAACCAATTCTGATCCAGTGCCCAGGAAAAGAGTAATTTTAGGTGTTTGCTTTACAGCTGGGTGACTGTTCTCCAGCGTGGTGTTTCTGAGCAGGCGGGCTGCACACCAGCTCTGTTCATCTTGGAGATGTGTGGGGCGAAAACAAAAAGGCTTGGCGTCACTTCTGCAGGGCTCACGATGAGTCAGTCTCACCGGGGGCTGGATGGGGGCGCATCAGACAGTTGGCTCTCTTTTAAAAGCAGAGACAACAGTAGCTGCAGGCACACACTGACACCCCCTACATGGACTATATACGAAGGCGTAGCTGCTTAATGACATTTTAAAAAAGACGTGTGAATTTGTTATTTCATGCTGTAAATGACGCCGTCATTATAAAATATTATTTTAAAAACCTTCATACAAAGTATATTCAAATATAGTTTCTTTAAATAGTTGGGGTGGCCGAAGGTTTTTCTCCTGTGGCCAAGGCCACCAATGGTCACCCTCTGGCTCTGCCGTTGCACCTGGTTGTCGATAAAATTGCTCCCTCCACTTGCCAGGAGTTGTCTCTCTGTGCTGCCTGGCACAAGCAATAAAAAATATATAAAACGTACCTCTACTCTTCTACACAGTGCAACTCTTACACGTTTGAATATCTTGCACCAAAAACATTTGTACTTGCATTCATTCCCAGTTAGTTTTGAAAATTCCAGAAAAACACTCATTTAAAAAACTACCAACATTCACTATTCAGTTTCAGGTCTCTCTTGTAAATGAGTCCCTGAGGCTCAATGGGATTAACCTGTATAAATAAAGGTTGAATACAAACAGCTAACTAGAGTTTAACTAATGGTAACTTCAGATAATTACAAGAACATATTTGGATTTTTTAAATAACATTTGAAACTTAACAACAAAGTCATAAACAATTAGAAACAAGAATGGGTTGGGGGGGGGGGGGGCATTTTTTTACAGTGTTCTTTTTCAGCATAATCCTGAGTTTGTTCAACACGTTGAATAAAAGATCAAAGTTTATGAGCAACTGCCAATGGAGCAATTTTAATATTAAATGACTTCAAAAGATTTTTTTTACAAGAGCAAGAATAACAAAGAGTGATGAAGTCGCACACTGAGCTCTCCAAACTTTCCAAAATTGTTGCAAACTAATTCATCTTTCACCCACAAGTGATTGTTCTACATTTCTAAATTATAGATTAAATTTTCACACATTTCTTTGAGGCTGAATTTTTTGTTTGAAGAGTGGTGCTGTTCCCCAGAAAAGACCAGAATCTCCATGACAACCAGTGACTCAGCAGACTGAATCACTGGATTTCACATTGTTCAGCAGGATCTTCTTGTTATTATTCTTTCATCATGGCTGCCCCATTAATCCTTTGACGTCTGAGTTGTTTTGACATGATTTGAACTTTTAAGTTAATAAGAACTATATTAAAGCCTCTGCAGAGTTGAGGGAGAGGTTTTAACTTGGGAGTTTCAAAATAAAGTTAGTAGTTACTCTTCAGAATAAGACCTGGCTCTGGTATAGCCAGTGATGGGAATAACGGAGTTCAAATAAACGGCGTTACAAACGGCGTTATTTTTTTCATTAACGGGTACTCTAAGTCGTTACTATGTCTATCGTTACAACGCCGTTACCGTTACAACCACTAAATGGGGTACGTTATTTTGTCGTAAGCTGTTTGTTTACTTTTTTTTCCTTGGTGAGGGTAGGAGGGAGGGGTGAAACAATCATATAAAGGATGATGATGATTGGCTAAGGTAGAGTAACAGGTAAAGAGAGGTAAGCCAATCAGAGGTTTTGTTGTTCAGTTCACTCGCAAACCACACGCTGCAGCTCCAAATCTGAAAAGTTAGCAGAAGTCCTGCAGCAATGGCGAGTCCGGAGGGAAAGCTGGCATTTTCAAAGTGGAAATACAGACACTACTTTACTCTCCTTGAGGTAAAAGGCAAGAACGTGAGTGTGAAGTGTACATTATGTCCCGGAGCGAAGTGTTTGTCTACGTCCGTCGTAAGCAACTCTAATCTGATGAAGCATCTCACAACTGCACATGGTTCAACAAAACTCGTGGCTAAAAACACTGCTGTTGACAGTACTGATGATGATAGCAGACCAGGTGTGGCTAACGTGAGCTCTGCTAACGAAGAAGAACGCGGAGCTACGCCGTCCAAGCAGTTAAAGGTGGATTTTTTTGCTCCAGCTTCACAGAAACTTGTGACGCAGAATGAACTAAACCGATTGATAGGCAGGTATGTTGTTGAAAACATGCTCCCATTATCAACAGTTGACTCAGACTCATTCAGAACCCTTATTGGCAAAATACCGGGGAGAGCAGGCGTCGGTCCTCCATGCAGAAAGACATTTTCTAAATACATAGATGCTGAGTACGCTAAAATGAATGCCGAGCTGAAGACTGGATTTGAAGAATTAGAATATGTCTCTACTACTGCAGACATTTGGACTGCACATAATAAAAGTTATCTTGGCGTAACTGCCCACTGGATACATCCACAAAGCATGGAACGAAGAAAAGCAGCCCTGGCATGCAGACGATTTAAAGGTCGTCATACACATGACAGTATTGCAACTGAGCTTGACAACATTCACTCATTCTATGGCATAACCCACAAAATAACATCAACTGTCACGGATAATGGCTCTAATTTTGTCAAAGCCTTCAAGAAGTACCAGCCTGTGGAGGATGAGGAGTCTGATGATGATGAAGATGAGGTGACATTTGTGAACATTAATGATGTCTTGCAAAACAGTGTTGGTGATGATGATAATGATGATGTAATTACTTTGCCACCACATCAGAGATGTGCATCACACACTTTAAACCTTGTTTCATGTACTGATGTTGACAAGTGGATACTGTCAAGACCAGAAACAAAAGCAATATACAGGAGTGCTACAACCAAATGCACAGCTTTATGGAACAAGGCTAGCCGTTCAACTGTGGCTGCAGAGACTGTTGATGATGTAATCGCAAGGAAGCTGCTAGTCCCTTGCAGTACAAGATGGAACTCGTTTTATGATGCCCTTGCTCGCATCTGTGAGATCCCTATAGTTGCACTGAACACCATCTCTTCCGAGTTTGTTTTGAAAGCCATCACAGAACGGGAGCATCAGTTCCTCAAGGAATACTGTATGGTAATGAAGCCACTAACAGTAGCCTTAGACATACTTCAGGGAGAAGACAACTGTTTCCATGGCACACTCCTACCCACACTGGAGACATTGATGTTGAAGACCCTGGACCTGAAGAGTGGTCTGCAAATCCTCGTTGACCTTCCAGAGGCAATTGTTACAGTAAGAACTAATATATATTTTTAAACACATAATGAAAAGATACAATGTAAAATTAAATATATTTGTAAACTTACAATGTGTAATGCTGTGTGTGTGTGTGTGTATGGATAGTCAGTATAATATTTACTTTGTATATCATTGCAGGCTATCAAAACAAGATTTGCAGAGGTGCTGGAAAGTGAGAATGCCGTCTTGGCTGCTGTGACTCTGCCCAAGTTTAAACTACGTTGGCTGCGGATGCAGGACAGGAAGGACAAGGCCAAGGCAAGTCTGCTAGCAGAGTGCCGGAAAAGTGCTCAAAATGAAGACCAGCGAACAGGTACTACCATCACACCAGCATGCACTGAGTCAGCCATGGAGGATGAGTTCTTCTCCTTTGAGGATGAGGATGACACCTCTGCTACTGCTGAAAGCCAAGTTGCTGATTATTTCAAATCAGGAGCACAAGGGATGGACAGTCTTAATGGATTTCCACTTGTAAAGAAAATTTCACTCAAATACAATGCAGCCACTCCATCTAGTGCCCCTGTGGAAAGACTGTTTAGCTTAGGGAAGCTTGTCTTCACTCCAAAGAGGAACAGACTTTCTGACCAGAAGTTTGAAAGGCTTCTACTTCTAAGATACAATCACTGGTTTAAGGGGTAAGATGGTCAGCAGATGACTGGGTTGACTGAGTGGATAAATGAATCCATCTATGCATGGATAGTTTAGTAGCTAATGTTGGGTTTGTTCAGGTAATTCAGATTTTCAGTACTGTTTTAAAAGTACTTCGTATTGTTAAAATGGTTATTTTGTTTTTAAGAAAATACTTGAAGAACCAGTTGTGTGAGGGTTTGATTTTATTTTACACTACAGAGTTAAAACACTTATTTTAACTGTTTACTTTTATTTCTAAGAAAACACTTGAACAGTACAGTGTGTACATAAAGCTAAAAACACAATTGTTATGTTATTTTGTTAAACTGTATTTTTGTAATGAAGAAAAAACTTGAAGTATAGTATGTCAACCAGTCATGTTCTGTTGAGGTGCAGTAAGTATTAAAAGTTTTGTGTTAAGTACTTGTCTTTGCAATTCTACTTTAAATTCGTAGATATATCTCAACTTAAACCAAACAAACAAACAATAGTTACTTTAGTTACTTTCCCTGGTAACTAATTACTTTTATAGGGGAGTAATTCAGTTACTAACTCAGTTACTTTTTGGGAGAAGTAACTAGTAACTATAATTAATTACTTTTTAAAAGTAACATTCCCAACACTGGGTATAGCTGATACAAAAGTAAGTTCTACTTAATGTTTGGTGAAATTTCAGGCAATAGCTGTGTTGTAACTCTTCAAACGTCCTTCAGAAAAACACTCAACCTGGCGGGATTTAACTTACAATGAGAATGAACTTGTTCATCATAAACTGGAATCAGTTACATTTATTTATATTCTTTGTTTTATTGTAATATTTATTGCTGTTTATTAATTTTGTTAAACTGACACTCGGCAGATTTCTGTACGTCCCTGAACCTACTTCATGAAACCTGAGGATTTTAACTGTTCAACTATGACCTGCAGAGTTGCTTAACAGTTGAGGTTTCATCTGTATTCGACATGTGCATGACCAAATGTTGGTCAAAGTGCAGCGTGCGGCTGACGAGCCCAGGATGTGACGTGCTGCTCAACATGGAGAAGTGCTTCAGGAAACTGCAGCGGGTCTTCTTTCATTGTGATCAGCAGCTCATTTAGACAGTTTTCACACTTCTGCATGAGACTTAACGCGCGCGTTTGCTCGTGTTTTTGTATTTCTCACCAGCAGCAGGGCATCCAGTTGGTTGATGTAGATCTCCTCGCTGGCCAAGAAACCAGACAGCACCAGCTTCTTCATCTCCAGCCCTTTCTCCAACTCTCTCTGCAGGACGACACAATGCATATTTACCTACTGTAAACATAGAAAGTTCAGACAAAGTCTTTACTAACATATGTTTGCCCCAGGATTTAGCCAGCACCACGTCAGACTGCCATGACTCAAGCTCATTTCCTGAGTGATGCCACTGCAGTTACCACATCAGGTAAACATTAGAATCACACACATCCAACGTGCACAGGAGTGTTTCCTTTCTGGGAAGATTCACTCCTCCTGCTTCCAGGCAGCTGTTCTGATCCGACATTAATGTCAAAGACGTCATGACTGTGATCATGGTCTACAAACAAACAGGGAAAAATATGTCACCAGCACTGACCAGAAAAGCCCCACTCCACAAACACGAAGTGGCCCACGGGCTGCCACTTGATGATCACAGTTGTAGCAGGTTTTGTAGCTCTGCACACATTTTATTCAATGAATGAAGGAGCAGAAATTCTCTTTTGATCAAAGAGACATCAAAGTTAGACAGACCCAGACTATTTGTAATATAAAAATAGAGTCAACTAGATGTTTGTTTGTTTGTTTGTTGGTACATTTGGATACAAACACATTTAATTAGCTTTAAAAACTGACATAAAGAAAGCATTTAGTACTTTAACAATCTGGAGCAAACACCGTTAGGCCTGTCACAATAGACATGACACGGGCTGTCTCCTTTTTTCGGTTCTCAAAATAGCAGACGCTCAGTGTGGTTTGAGCTCTTTAGCATAGCATTTGTCACACAAAGCTTTTAATAAAAAAAAAAAAAATCAGCAAACAAGTTCTCAGCTTCTTTTTGCAGAGAAAAGCAACTTTTTAGAAGAAGGCACGGGTGTCATTAGTGAATTTTGGAGCGTCGACAAGACGGAGGTTTTTTCCCCGAGGTCGGCCTGTTAGCTTAGCTCGTAGCTTAGCTTCTCAGCTTAGCTGCTTTTAACGATCCAAAAACGTGATTTTGGAAGGTTAAAATGGATTTTAAAGAGAAAGGGAGGGGTCAGTGAAGAGCACCGGAGTTGAGCTTTTTGTCATCCAGTGTCTTCAGTAGAAAGAGAGACACGAAGAAATGATAAATGAAAAACGACCTCATTTTCATTTATCTGCTTTATCGTGCAATTACTAGATTTATTATTGCGACAGGCCTAGACATCGTATAGTTTGGCTGCCACAAATCTCTTTCATGAACAACTTCTTTTTCAAAGAAAACTCATTCAGGTACAGGAAGCCTGTGTTATTCTATAACCCCATCTTTTTGAGCTGTTCCTCAGTCTGAGTGCTGAGGATCATTGTCCTGTTTAAACATTTACCTCAGGTTAAACTCCTAGGCAGAAGGTCTTAATTCATCTTCAGGCCCTTTTTAAGATGATTAAGAACTGCAGCACATAACTGGAGACTCCACTTTGCTTTAAACCAGTTTGGAGTGATCAGCACCAAATTAAATAAATTCCTTTCAGATAAAATCTGTCTAGAAAAATAAATTAATTAATAAACATTTGGTGAACTTGAAACAGACTAGGTTTTACACCTACATGCTCTCATTAACATCTCTTAGCAACTTTATTTGCCCACCTCACTTGTTTTCAATTAGGAGTGCCAATAAATAAACACTGAGGAATATTTGGTACTTTTAATTTATTATTAGGAAAAGTTTCTTAAGACTTTTAGTAAAATAAATGAAAAATTTCCACATAAACAGCATTAGGAGTTTGGCTGAATGAGAGAGGAAACCCAGTACTCTGTCCAGATGGCCTGACTGAAAAATGTTGGATTGTATACCTGGATTATTGAGCATGGACTTTGTTGTTAGTACTCTTTGGAGTTCTGTAACTCAGAGTTCACAGCAGAAACATGATTTAAGACTTGAACATGTCATGGAAGATCAGACTTTATATGACTGAATTGATATTTTTAGTATCTGACACTTTTACACAATAACAGTTTAATGATAATGACTTCTGGAAATTTTACAGCAAAGTATTAAAAAGAGATCATGTCATAAACTCCATGTTTTGAGTGTTATTGACTCCTTTATTTTGCAATCTTTCTCCTGCCACAATATTTAAACTATACATAAAAAATTAGAAATAATTATCTTCTTTGACCCAGTGTGAATATTACTGATAGATACAGATGCAGGATTTACGTTTTTCACTCACATCTTCCTGGAGTGCAGAGTGCACACATCTAAATATTATTATTACTAAGTATTGACTTCACTGTCTCTGAGAGCAGAAAGAGGCCGTTTTAAATTTAAGAAAATTTATCAATATGACGCACACTTATTGACCAATGAATATTGTTTGCCTGTCTCATTAAGCGTGCTGTCCAGTGAGAGACCCAGGTGTTACCATGGTGACCCTAACGATGCAGTGGCAGCAGCTTTAACATTTCTTTTGATCTTGGTTCTCGTTGCCTTTCTTCTGAGGTTCATACATCCAATTATGGACATTTTGCCAGCTTAGATTATTACTAAAACTGGTTCCAAACTACTATTTTATTTTGAAAGAAAAAGTTAATGCATTTCAGGCAGTGGCTAAATTGGAAACCTTAAAAAAATGTCAGAAATTATTTAATTCATTTTATATTTCTGCAAATTATGTTTGAGCATATTAAATCCTTATTTGACCAAAGCAGCTCTATTAGAATAAAAGATTGAAGCCAACCTATGAAGAAGTGTTTCTCTCTATGCGCACAAAATGTCATTATGTTTTAAAACTTGCGAGATATTACTGAATGGAACTAGCAAAAAAACATTTTCAATTGTGTTCGTCTAGACATTTTTTATCTATTTATTTAATCAAGACAACTATTCCCCCATCAGAGAGCATCAGCTCCCAGACAAACATCCAGTCCTTCATCGCTGATGTCTGAGCAACAGTGAACTTCAAAAAGTGAGAAACTAGTGAGACGCCCTTACAAAAGGCCAAAGACCAGTTATGAGAAATGAAAATATGATTAATTATTAACAACCAGATCCTTACAATGAGATCAGCACAACAGCTTTGCCTGATAAGACGACAAAGAATCCAATCACAGCCTCTTGCACTCATATAATCTCTAAAGAGGTCAAATAACCCAAAATATTTATAAATTTATTAAACATAATCATTCCTAAATATGCTGTTCTACATGTCGTGGGTCAAATTTGGGAGTTTATATTGCATAATGAGCCATAAATCTGATTATGATCACATGGAAGCTGGTGTTTTCTAGCTGTTTTTCCACTGACAGCAGGTTTTTGAAGTGAACTGTTCAAATTGTGGAAAAGTTTCAGGATGGGAAAATGTTCCAGTCACCACCTTCTGTCGGGCTTCTTGAGCTTTCTTACCCTGGACAGTGGCCACGTCATGACGCACAACCTCATCGAAAGAAAAAAGCTCAAGATGAGAAGTTAAAAGATATATCTTCGAAATGCAATACATGTTCAATCCAACTTCTAAGCACAACATAGAATGACTTCACATAACTTTCATTTGTGCAATAGCTTTTTTTACTGTTTAATATATAATAGCTCACTATTCCAATGACAAAAATGTCACAGAAAGTTGTTAAAAATACCTGCAGGAGGAGGAATATTTTCCTGCTGCTGTACAAAGAGCTACTGTGACACGAGATGAGAGGTACAGGAGTGCTGAGAGCAGCTTTTCCACGGCTGCTCCTTGGGACAGACACCCCTCTATGTTTTCTTTCCTACTGCGCCCTCTGTTCTTGTTTAGTGTGATAACAGATCTGATACCAGAGGTGGCACATAGCAGAGTGAGGTAGCACACTTTCTGTCAGTTCATCAGCAGACACAGGCAGAAGTTCTCCAGACAGAAACGGAGAGGAGAGACATGTGCTTCCCAGCAGCAGCCTCATCAGGCCACACTGGCACACAAGCACACACACCGATGGCTGTAGCAAACACTGTCCCAGCACAGATGGTTCATAAGTACATGGAGCAGCGTAGTGACCACATCAAGACAAGAATCCAAATAAGACTTTTTGTTTTTTCTATGAATAAACCGTCTCTGGTCAGAGAGTAAAGAGTGTGTTGGTGTGTTTCCTGCAGCCAGCCATCCTGCCTCACCTTGAATTGACTATAAACCGGAGTGATGGGATCCAGCTCCCCATCTCCGTATTCAAGCACCTCCTCTTCCTCCTCCAGCACCTTGTCCAAGTAGCACAGCACCTCCTCCTCGTCCTCCTCCATGGTTCCTCCTTTTCGTTTCCTGCTTTTCACCTCCTATCCTATTTTTTTAATTATTTTTTTTTGCTTCCAACTCCCCTGTTCAGGGCCTGCCGGGACTCCCTTCAAAGCAAGTCTTCTGGACACCAACACACAGAGAAAGGAGAGAGGGCCCCGCCTACACAACCCCACCCCCTTCCTCTGCCGGGCTTCCTGGTGTTTGTGCACGCTCCACATGTGTGTGTACGTGTGTGTAACTGTTCGGTCAACGAGGTTCGTCCCTCCCCTCTCAACAAACACCATCCAGTCACTTCCTTAAAGGACCGGCTGTTTCTTTCAGAGCGACAATGTGAGAGTCTGCTTCATTCTCTTTATTTCTTCTTTATTTTCTCTTCCGCCCACTTCAGTCAAAAGCCACTTCCTAACTGCAAACGTGGGTCCAGCCTTTCTCACACTGCAGCCTCCATGTCTTTTCTCAGGCCATTGTCTCCGTATTGATCTGCTGAGAGCCGTGCATGTTGAGCTGGAGCTGCTAAAGTGTGCATGGTTCTAATTACAGGCCGCAAAGTTCAGCAGTTTCAAAAGCAAAGCAGAACGGAAAAGCTTTAAAAAGAAGACACGTGTGCAACGCAACCAGCAGGAAAATAAACCAACCTGGGGGGAAAATAAATAAATAATTCAACAGGACTATATGATGATTCAGCTTTGTGTTTGGATGTAGCTTTCAGAGCCTGCTGTGTGGTTTGTTAATGCAGACTAATTATGAAGAAAACCAAATTTACATCATGTCACATTACTTTACAAACCAAAGATCTGCACTGCAGTTGTGTGGAGAAATGTA